GCCTTTTGATATGCATATCTCTAACTCTGTAAGTAACTTTAATTTTATTTGCTTTTTGATCAATAATTAATAGCCAACTATGCAGACTGGAACTACGAGAAATCCAAAAAGTATGTTTCTTTTCTTCATAATGTTATAACCCCTCTTTCATATTCATCAGAATCTCTCTGGCTTTTGAACCTGCCAATATCACTTGAATGCAATGATCTTCATATGCCTGGTGTTGTAACATTTATAAAAGTGTGTACCACAAATTTCACAAATCTCCTTATAGCTACTTGCTAATTTAAGAGACTTCAGCCACTGCTTCCTCTCAGAGATCCAGATACTTTGTATCCCTTTCATGATTCACTTTCTCCTCCTGTCTCACAAGAGTCTAAAATTCTGCTGAACTATATTTCTTCTCCAATATCAAAAATCAGAATTGCAAACCCTTCTGTTCATACATCATCTGTCCACTCTCTCTTTATTAAACCCATTATTTCTTTTGATATCACAGATATCACTTCATATGAGCCAGTGAGAAATATTTCATTTCCTGCTTTTTATATTCTTTATCAGTGCGTAAATTCTTTGCTTGCATTTCAAGCTTTATTTTTGATTACAGATTCAGAATTTCAGTTTCGTTTTCATCTAGGCCTAGTTTGGACACAAGCAATTATGGCCCTAAATTATCAAACTGATTTTGATATTCCAGATGTACCTCTCACAGGGTGTATATTTTATAGCTATGTTCTCAGATTATATTTGCTGATTTCAGACTTATAACTAGATAAGCAACTCACAAAACCCTTTCAATGTTTGTCAAATTTTGTTTTTATGGGGCAATATCTTCTCACAAAGAAAGAATATCAAAGTGCCATTATATAGTCGGAAAGAGTAGTGTCTTGGCTCCAATTATCACTCTGGGTCATATAATTTGGTCTAGAATTGGCAGAGATACTTGAATTGCAAAAGATACTACTCATTGAAAGGGTTTTGTTGCACGCTATTCTATCAAAAGAAAACTTGAAATTTGAGTACTTATTAGAGTTTTCTCTTAATCTAAATTAGTGTGTAGACCTACCAAGGGATGCTCCAAATTGAATGAGAACAAGCCTTCTTTGATACACCCTCTTATTTCTTCTGCATTCTCTTCTATCACTTTGATATCTCTTTTGATAATATTCTCAGTTCTCCAAGCTTTCTTCTCAAATGGTTTCAAGAATTATTAATGAGATTGATTTCATAGGACTGAATTGAGTATAGAGAAACCTCAAACTCATAACTTTTCAGTCAGTTCTTAGCATTTTTTAGAATATTTGTTTTGCTGAAAGTCAATACTCTTGAAATGTTTCTATAATATCTCAGATACTCTCAAAGTTTATCATTGAGTGCATGTGTATATAGATTGACATTGGCAATGTTTTCATGATTTATCATATATCTCACTTTCATTTAGTGTCTACACTCCTATGCAAACTCTTTAATTGCAGCTATACTTTGTGAGAACTTATTGTTTACATTCTTTGTCTCCTTTTTTCATATTGACTTTCAATCTTTTAATCTCAGATAACTAATACTAATCTTATATATATGAAGAAACTATCTTCATAATTTTGGCTTCACTTCTGATACTTTATGGCAGAGTTTAGCATATTCAGCATAGTATATTTAGAATTGAAGATTGTGTGTAGAGAGTGTAGACACTAAATGAAAGTGAGATATATGATAAATCATGAAAACATTGCCAATGTCAATCTATATACACATGCACTCAATGATAAACTTTGAGAGTATCTGAGATATTATAGAAACATTTCAAGAGTATTGACTTTCAGCAAAACAAATATTCTAAAAAATGCTAAGAACTGACTGAAAAGTTATGAGTTTGAGGTTTCTCTATACTCAATTCAGTCCTATGAAATCAATCTCATTAATAATTCTTGAAACCATTTGAGAAGAAAGCTTGGAGAACTGAGAATATTATCAAAAGAGATATCAAAGTGATAGAAGAGAATGCAGAAGAAATAAGAGGGTGTATCAAAGAAGGCTTGTTCTCATTCAATTTGGAGCATCCCTTGGTAGGTCTACACACTAATTTAGATTAAGAGAAAACTCTAATAAGTACTCAAATTTCAAGTTTTCTTTTGATAGAATAGCGTGCAACAAAACCCTTTCAATGAGTAGTATCTTTTGCAATTCAAGTATCTCTGCCAATTCTAGACCAAATTATATGACCCAGAGTGATAATTGGAGCCAAGACACTACTCTTTCCGATTAATGGCACTTTGATATTCTTTCTTTGTGAGAAGATATTGCCCATAAAAACAAAATTTGACAAATATTGAAAGGGTTTTGTGAGTCGCTGTATGCTCGCGCTCAGTCCTCCAGTGTCATCTCCACCACTTCTGAGATGCCGACGATGAATACTAAGCATGTCAGCCAACAGATTGCGCTATGGTCAGCACTCAACTGGAAAATCTCATAGAAGATGTCTATTCCACAAACCTGTTACTGTTCGACCTACACACAAGCAGACGTCAACTCCATCCCTCATTATCGAGCCTTCACCAGTTTCTTAACTATTGGAGCCTGTGAAAAGGGATATCTTGCTCATCTTGAGAAAGAGTCCTGCACCTTCTGCAGCTACTCCTCGCATTGGAGATCAAATCCAAGTCCCCTCGAAGATAGGTGTGGAGCCATCAGTAGAGATTGACGATGAACCTATGCCATCTCCATGCCCAGTCTTCAGAAAGAGCAGTGACCATATTTGATCTGGTTCAGTCTTTGTACGTCTTTGAATGAGGGTAGCATGCTACTGGCATGAGAGGCGAAGAAGGGCCTCAGTCTTACTGGGACATTGGGAGGTTCTGCCTCCACTGAGGCCTCAGTTGATGCTGAGGATCCTGATTCTGATATTTCTGACAAGTTGCAAGTTGTCATTGCAGGCTAATCTGATGGTGAGCTCACTCGTAATTTTGATGACATGTTTTCATTCAATCATACTTCTACACTGCTTTCGCCAGTGTGATTCTCTCTCTCATTTGATCGTGCTTCCTTCAGTGGTTGTCACCACTGCAATGACTGTGATTACCTCTATCCTGGTATTTTAATTTCTGTTTCTCCTGCTGTACCTGAGAAGGACAAGAAGCCACCCATTCTATCAGTTTTATTATATCATCACCATCTCACTATCGATGTCACTCTTCTTCATTGGAGGATGACTCTTCGCTGCAATGCATCTTGTCGTGGGCTTCCAAAATGTCATCTTTGGGTGTCATACCTTGTGCCAATTCCAACACATATTCAAGGAGAGTTGCTCCTGATTCACCTCAAATCAGTTATGAACTATTGTGGATCACATCTGAAGCTAGCCTGAAGCTAACTTCACAGGCTTTGGATCTTTTAGTGAGACTCATAGAACCTTTGAACTGGGATCTAAGTAACTGACCATCTATCCTCCTTATGGGGCAAACACTTCCAGGTCACGTTCAGAGATGTTCCACAACAAGCATGCCTCTGCATCTTTCTTTGGCTCCATTGTCAATTCTGGCTTCATCGACCTTCTCAGTTATTTCCTAAACAGACTTTTGCCTTCAGAGGACATGTCAATATTGATGCCAGTTGACAATACCTTCTCATTCATTCACAAAGGTCAATATGTTGATAGCAGCTCAACTAACTTTGGCTTTCTCCCTCGGAGCTGTCTTGAGGTCCCATCGAAGTGAGTATATAATGTCTACATCCTCCAATGCCCCACCTGTCATGACTCTGCATTGGAATTCATCTCAGTGCTTATACGGTAGACATGTAGATGTATAGATTATTTTAGCTGAGACAATAGCTCAGAGTCAAGTTTCACAGACTGCATTTAGATTACAGCTTGCCATCAATCTGATACTTTTATGTCCAATTCCATTTTATAGCAGAAATATTAAGTCTATAGTCTGATGACCAGAAGCCTTATGATGAAAGAGATTGGCATACAATTATAAACTGTGCACTATCAGATAGCAACATTGTACTCACATAACAGATACAGTGTTAATAGAATTCTCTACAATGGCTTGTTGTGTAATGGCGAGTCATCATCACCTTGATATATCTGCTAAGAGGAATAGCGCCAAGTATTCTTGAGATTATTTCTATATAGTCTTAGAGCGAGCACTAACATGGTGATAAATGGAGATAAGAAGACACCCTAATGATGTCTAAATAATAATTCTATATAGCTTGCCATCTTTCATTCAATATAGCTTGCTTTCATTCAATATAGCTTGCCATCTTTCATTCAATATTTGAGATAGCTTTCGATAGCTTTCGATAGCTTTCTATGCCTCATTCTTCATGATATATATTGACCAACCTTATCAAGGAAAATCACCAGTGCCTCAAATTCCTGATATATAACAGTACATCAGCAAACATGCTCTCCTAGTACCCGTAGATGCTAAATTCAGACTATCCATATGTCCCTCAGCACAGAAATATATCTCCATTTCTATACCATTATGATACCATACTGATCCTGTGTCATTCACATACTGAAAGGTAAAATGCCCACTCTGAAGGTAAATCACTTCACATAACTTCCAACATGACTGAATGACACCATACAGCATATTTACATTATCTTGTATATGCACTTTGGAAAACAACATATCTGCCACCTGCAACTCAACAACCAATATCTGCGGCATTCAGTTCATGACCAAATCACTCTGAACTGTACTCACTGAATTACACAAATGACAAGACCTTCTCCTTGAATAGATCTGACTATCTTAGAAGTTAAACTATAAAACTATATTTATGCTAAGGCCCATTTACTAGGAAGAACATATTGTAAATAAGAAGTGTGACATATGTTACATTATATTTAGAATATATTTATACTATAATATGCAATTTATTGTAACATATACTTATAATACATTGATACTATAATAATATCTACAATCTAAATTCTCTTTGAATATAGCATAGATTGGTTTACTCTATATTTACTCTATTTTTTAAATTAAACTCACAATATATTTATTTTATTTGATATACTATTTGTTAAGTATATTTAAATAAAAGTTTATTCTATATTCACCCTAATTATTAAACTTTAGCTTAAATTACACCCAGTATAGATTGCATTCTATTATCTATCATATATCTAATAACTAATAACTAGCTATAGTCTAACTAGATAGAAATTAATTTGTAGTGCATACATAACCATATAAACACATCAATTCCTCTATAGAACCGACCATCTACTGCATGCTCCATTAACCACTTTGCATAGTCTTCCATTGTCATATCAAGATCAAGCTTGAAAGTCACAGCACACTCTTGCCAGAGCTTGAGTTCTTGCCTGATGACCCAAAAGGCTACAACCATGATATCGGCATATGGACATGGCCGAATTCGATTCTTGTCTCGAGTTCCAACTTGATGACTTGTATGACAGGGAGGAAGAAATTCGCCTTGAGGACAACCACAATGATAGCAGTAGGTAAACTTCTGCTCATATTCCAATGTTTTCTTCCATTGAATCCAACCTATCGTATATGTGATAAACTTGATATTGCAGTTTTCACGTAGTCTGCATGTTACCAAAATCTTGTGATAGTCCCTGAGGAGACCCTTGATTGCAAAACAGCCAGGACATTTGCTTTCAAGCTGCTCTAGACATTTGGAGAGCAATTCTGCCAGCTGCTTCTTGCTTAGCTTCATCTGCTTTGCATATGCAGCATTTACTTGAATTGAGATAGCAGCTTTTCCTGTTTGCAAAGGAGAAGAGAATGACTGAATAGAACTCAGTGCATAACTGCATTCTGAGCTAGCATGAGTGGTAGTCATTTGGCCTGAGAAGGATGTCTGAGTATATGATTGGAAGGAATTATTTGGAGAAGAGCATGGCTGAGGTTTGGATGAACTTGAAGAGGAAGCTCTGCCAGAATTTTGATCTTCAAATTGTGCCATATCCATCTGTGCAAGGAAGGCATCTATGCCAAAGTCTTGATCGTACATATCTTCATCCTCTTGAATGACAGCCTGAGAAACTGTGTTATCAGCCATAGCTGTATCTTCTTCTATAGCTAATGGCTTTGGTGGTGATATGTTCTTGATTGATTGCTTAGCGACTGCAATAATCTCTGATTCTGGATCGCAAATATCACATAGCTGACATCCAGAAAGGTCTTGACAAGAGATTTCTTCACCATCCATTACTGAAGAGATGCCACGTCGCCTGCATTGAGTTGTGTTATCTGCCCATGTGTTCATCTCCACTGCAAGACCATCATCCGGTTTCTTGACTTTGGCTTTTTCTCCACCAGTAATCATGATAACTAAACATGGCCTTCCACGTCTTCCACCTCTAGCTGCTGCCTGAATGCAATCAATAAATCCATGTGCACAGCCCCAAAACATGACACAGTCAACATAGTCCTGATCAATTCCATGAGTGAAGGCAGAGGTTGCTGCAATCCATTGATGTTGGACTTCATTTCCATTACGCCAAGTACTTTGAGCATTACTTTTATCATTGTCCTCCATTTTGGCATAGTAGGTAAGACAACCCAAGTATTGTGCAGCTTCATCGGCCTCCAATGGTGTTCTGCAGAAGATAATTCCACGTGAATCTGGCTTGAACACTCGTCTTTGAATTTCATGAACTAGGTGTGAAGCTGATATGGCAAGAAATGATAGAGAAGATATGCGCAGAATAATGTATTTGAGTTCTGGCCGATTTGTTGGAGCACGAATGATAGGCGTAGATTCAGAAAGTCCATTGAACTGAAGAAAGCGTGGAACTAGACGTGGTGGAAGAGTGCCTGTAAGATAGATTTTCTGTATAGCCAATTCTTGCACATCTTTCATATGATTGAAGTTGGCACGATAGTCCTTGGCTGTTATGGTCTGATGCGCCTCATCTAGAATCAATCTTGCGATCTTGTCTTCATTTTGACTAAGATATCTATATTCTGAGTTAGTAAAAGTTATTAAAATAGTATAACTATACATACCCCTTGAATGAAGGCACCTTCACATGATCATAAGATGCAAATAGAAGTTGATACTGTCCATCTCTTTGTTTTCCTGCAGACTTCCAGACTATATTGGTGGTCTTGTTTGCATTTGCTCTGCGTTGCATATCTGCAGTGAGTGAGACAAAGGGACTCAACACCACAGTAGTCATGTCCTTTTCATTATTGCCTTGTATTGGAACCTCCCATGCAGCACTTTTACCACCTCCAGTTGGTAACACGGCAATGAAAGACTGGTTTCGTTCTACTGCATATTGAACCATCTTCTTCTGGGTGACTGATTTAAACTGTGCATTTGGAGTCTTTAGAGTTTTGGCAAGAAGTTGCAGAAGAGTAGCAGATGAGGTGTGCAATGAGGAAGATATAATGGTGTTGGAATGCAAGGTAGATGGCCTATTGTTGGTAGAATGAATAGGCTGAACTAGAGATGCCTGAGAAACTGAATGAACTTCAGTAACAGGTAACTGAGAAGATCTTTGATTAGCAGTTGATATTGGTTGGGCTGATATTGAAGTTGATAAAGTGGAAGGTGGCTGTGGACCTTGAAGTGATATTCCTTGTGACTGCATATTCTGCTGGCGCATTAGAAGTTCTGCAATACCTGCCACTACTGCCTGTTGAATAGATTTCTCTATCTTTGCATCATGTGCCATCATTGCAGTTGCAATAGAGTTATTGACTGTAGTTCCAATGAATGCCTGTAATTGATCTTGATCCATAGCTGATGGTATAATAGGTGACTGCTGTGCAGATATTGCTGAGGGAGAGGATGCTGTAGTAGCAGAAATAGACTGCACTGTAGGAATTGCTTGATGCTTGTAGTGAGACGTATTGCGAATAGGCATTGGAATTGGATTGCTTCCTATTCCAAGTACATCATGCCATGCTTCAGAGAATTTGCGACAATCAAAAAGTCGATCTGTGGTTAACCATGGAAGACTGCCATATTCTTGAGCATAAGTATGCCGAGCCTGATGACTGCTATGTCCTGCAGAGAGATCTCCAATTTCATTGACAATCATGCCATGATACATGGGAGGAATGAATTCGCGTTTGATGGCAATGGATATATGTCGATATGGTCGACGTCCCATTTCACACTTCATATAGGTAGATGTGTGAAGTTCAAGAATTTTTCCAAACATATCACTGGTTATACGCTTCCCAGATGACACATAGAGAAATTCCTGATATAGAGCCTTGACTGCAGATCCCCAACAAATATCGGCAAGGAGAACTTCAATGGGTCGCAAGAGAATGAGATAGTTGCATAGGATCTTCTCCAAGCGTGGTGGACAGAGCATTGGAATAAAATCATGAGACTCGGTAAGTCCAGATGTCTTGAGACGCTGTGAAATAAACCATAGGCCATGACTGTAAAATACATTGCGAAGGTTGTCCGAGTTTCGAATACGCGTGTCCACAAATTCTGATCCTCGAGGGGCTTGACTTGGAAGAATATAGCATAGGACAGAGAGGATCTTATTGAGATCGCCCATTTTTTGCATAAATTGCATGCAGTCTGCCTTTCGCCAATGAAACTGATGATCTGCTGTTATGTCGGCAATTGGATGAGATTGATCATTCATGAGATGTTTCAAAACTGGAAGATACTGATTCAGGAATGGTGATTCATTAAGCCAGGAATACTGATTTGAAGTATTGGACATATTCTCAGCAAATGATGCTGGAACATTGGCTTGAATATGGCCACCAGTGACTGCTGTGATTGATTGCTCAGCAAGAGTAAGAAGATCATTGAGACCTTCACGAAAGTGTCCCAGATAAAGAGTGATATCCAAATAGGAGATGCTGTCAAGTGTTGGAGACCATTGAATCTTTGGTGGTGCAGCTGAACGTGCAATTAAAGCAGTTGTATAGGCCATATGCTGACGAAGCATTGTAAATTGACCAAGCTGTCCATCAGCTAGAAAGTTCTTGCACTGGTACTGTACTGCTCTAAAGATAAATAAAAAGTTAGTAACAAATACAAGTTTATTATTTTAAATTGCTCACCCCATAATATCATTATTATACTTCTCCTGATTTTGATATGCCTCCATAAAATGTAGCTGCCGAAGAGTATACTGCCACTTTGCCAATACTTGAGTATAATCTGCAGGACTTCGAAATCCTCCATCTTCTCTTAATGCCCAAATTGCCAAATAGCAATTCAAAGGACATTTCTAGCGATCCAATCCTGATCCGGTGGCAGGTTCTCCTACCAAACTGTACAAAAATGCATGAAATGCATTTACTGTCTCTTTGTTTGACTTCAGTGCTGAAGTCAACATCTTGGCATATTTGACATGGTTTTGATTGAAAGGCAAGGTATAGTCAAGTTCCTGGTGACCCGAGAGCATACGAAGGACAAAGGCAGTAAATGTTGTAATGACACGTGCATAACTTTGCAAAGTTTGATCACGTTCATGAACATTCCAACCAGAGGTATGTGAAGTATCACTATAATATAGATAAGCATTTGCCAAAATAAACTGGAATAGGGCACATACACTGGATATTGAAGCATCATTCGCAAGATGAGATGTTCACAGTTCCGAGCAAGAGAACGGCCTTTCTGAAAATACTCCAAGACAACATTGGATAAGTTGCCTATAGTATCTTCATCTGGCTTGGGATATTTTAGCAATGTAAGAAGTGATGCACGTTTCTCCTTGCTGAAACGGAATTGATCCAAATGCATATGCCATAGTGTCATTTGAAGCAATGGAGGAATGTCATTTTGTGACTGTGGTGCTGCAGGTGAAGCCATTATGAGAGCAGGATGAATGTCGGTGAGAAACTTCTGATATGCTGTGAAAGGTGAGGCAGGATTGAGATGTCGATTTACTGAGAAGTATCGAATAGGCAAGGGTGAAAAGAATGTCTGAACTGCTGTAGTTGTATAGCAGTCACCAATAGCATGAGACATCTCCTTGTGCATATCTGTGATATGAGTTCGAATCCACCTCTCATTTTTGCATGCAAAGCTGCAACCTTGAACCATGCAGATAAGACCATCATCTATAGACAGTCCTTCAATTGGAGGTCCTCCAGGTGTTGGAAGAGGTATGTCAGTATTGAGAATGATTCCATACTTTGTGACGGTACGGTCGATATGTTCCTGAAGATTAGGATAGAAATAGTGATGAGATTTGGTGAGGTGTCCATAAATATTGATGGGTTCTATGCCTGTATTGCAAGAGCGGCAAATAAAAATCTTGTAATCTTCATGAACTGCACAATCGATGGTCTTCAAAAACTTGTCAACGATAAGCTTTGACTTGATCATATTGCTTATATCATCAGTATCCTCAATCATGATGATATCATGGATATTGGATTGTGATTGACCGATAGTTGTAACCTGATTTGAAGTAGAATCTATTTCAAATTAGTTTAGTATCATAAATCAGAGTATATAATAAATACCTGTAACTCGAATTCTATCCTTGGTGCTATATGGATTATATCGAGAATCAGAAATATGGCGCTTTGATTGAGCCTTCAAGCCTATGGTCGTTTGCTCCATATTGGCTGTCTTCTGATCAATATGCCATAGTTCATGCTTGCGAAGGCGCTTGACACTAGTGAACTTATCACCACAAGGACAGATAAATTCGCCAGCATCATTCCGAGTTAAAGTGATCTCCTCTCCTACATAATGTCAAAATATTTTCAGTGGAAGGTAAAACAATCACTGTACCATCATATTTGATTTTCCTAGTTGCAATATGGATATCAGAAATATGACTGGTGAGTGAGTTGTATTTATCATATTCTTTTCCACATCCTGGATCAGGACACTTGAAGCTATCAAAAAGAGTCAGCATTGAGTTAAAACTACTTGTATAAGTCGCACATGTTCTGTATAGCATCAGCAGATACCAGGTTTGACATAGTAAGTGATGAAGAAGAATGTGTGATTAAACTTGAGAAGGTGGTGGTTCAAGGTCAAGATTGGAAGATATGCCGAATTTGGAGTTGCTGAGTTCACCTGCATTCAAAGTCAACTGATGCCGGAGTTGAATGAATTGTGAAAATAAAATTGGAAAGAGCGGGCATGGGTTTACTGGACTCAGGGAAGTTCAACCTTGCACCACGACGAGGACTTAAATCTCGGAAGAATTCTGGTCCCTTTCAGGGCTTGAACCTGCGACCCTGAGGTCCGGTCTCCACCCCGCTCTTTATACACCCCGGAGGGCGCTCAACCGTGAAGCTAAATGGCCATGATAGGATTTAAGTTCAATTCCCCAAGTACCCATTTTTGTTAACTTTTTTTTTTTTTTTTCAAGTCTCTTGGGCAGACGGAGATCAGGCTTTTTTCTCTTAAGCAAACAGGTGTTATAGGTTCCAGTAGTACGTACAGTAGGTGAGAGATACTCCAGGCTGACTACGGACATTAAATTAAAAAAGGGCATCGAGCGAATATTCCACTATCGACATGTGAGGGCGTAGGATGGGGGTAGAGGTAGGAGGGACATTCCTGGTCAGAGGGGGAGGTGATAGGCATGCTGGGGTAGGAGAAACAATGGTGTCGGTGTAATGACGAGGGCAGTTGGTGGGTACAACATGAGAACGAGGGCATTGGTAGCCACGCCGTTGTGTAACAACGAGGGTTGGGGGTGTAGGGTGAGAGAAAGAGGGTATCAGCACCTGGAATGGCACCGAACGGCGGTATTGCTGGCTGTAGTGTGCGAACGGGCATGTTCGAAGAGTAGGATGCAGGAGGGGGGTATAGTGTGCATGCAGGCCGTACATCCAAGGGTGCTGGTGGGTACGAGAAGACCGAACGACGGCGTTGGGCATGTGCTAGGTGAGAACGATGGCAGAAGTGCATGTTCTGTGAGAGAACAAGGGGCGTTGGTGGCTTCGAGATACTGGAACGTGGGTGTTCATGGGTACAGCGCAAGTACAGGTGCGTGGGGCTGTGACGATGCGCAAACGAAGGCGTTAGAAGGTGTAGAGTGACATAGAAATGGGCAGGGAGGCTTACATAGAGCAGTAACGGGTACATCGAGCCCCTACAAGGTAAATTGACGGAAATAGAGTTGAGTACTGAAGAACCAGGGATTTGGGAGGTATCGCAACACCTGTCGAGGGCGTTAGATGCATAAGGCACGAGGGGGAATGCACTTGGCATGTGCGGGGTGAAAGGACAGGTGTCGATCGGCAAAGCAGAGCAGATGAGGATGTTGGGGTTTGTAGTGATGTCGAATGGTCGGCGGTAGAGGCTAGAGGGCGAACGTTGCTGCCTGGGAACAGCAGCAGCAAAGGTAGACCTGGAGGTGCTGTCAGCGTGCAGCGAGGGGGTTATTCGAATGCCTTACTTACCTGGTACCATCACCTCGCCCGTTCACCCCTCCATCACTAAACTCCAGCCGCGACCACCAGGGTAGAACGGCGAGATGAGAAAGAGCGAAGTCAAAAAGCGCGACGAGCGAACAACGCATCAGACCCGCCCAGAAGACTCGTCCTGCACTGTAGGGCCTTGGTTAGACCCAGCAGCGAGGACGAGGGGGTCGAGGTCTGAGTGGGCGTCGCAGGGAAGGGAAGGAAGAGGAATGGGCCTGTGTATAAGTAAGTTGGGACTTCAACGCCCCAACGGATTCATTTGTCCTTGTTTGCAGACCCTAACCTACCTGGGCACCCCTAACCCTGCCACGCGTTTACCTCGCGTTTACCCCCATTGTTCTCCTTGCTCTCTCTCTCTTCTCTCTCTCTCTCTCTGCGTCTTTCCTTCCTTCTCCTTCCTTCTCTCGCTTCTTCTTTGCAGATGGGTTGTCGGGAGTGTTGAGTGGGACAGGATAACAAGGTACGCCGGTCATTTTTTTCCCCTTCTTTCGCCGCTAACTGCTGTTTGTCTTCTACAGTATATATCCAGTCAAGTTGTCCCTTGCTCCGGGGACAACTTGGCTTGTCTTCGCCGCACGTCCTCGACTTTCGAACGTCTGACACACATGCTGTTCGTGTGCCAACGGCGACGACCATGTCCGCTCCCTCTCACGGCAATTGTAACTTCTCGTTACATTTATTTATGTGTGTTCCCTCTAGGAGTGGCAGGCGGTACGGTCCTCGAGGGTGACCAGGTATGTGTATAAATACATTCCTCCTATTTGTGGTTAATCCCGTCTCCCATTTTGACAGTGATCTGTACGAGCCGTCCGCCTGCCACCTTCTGCCAAGCCCACACTTCCTCCTTCCTCACGACATCCATACACGACGATGCTCCTGATGACAACATCTGCCCTTCGGCACCACTCCTTGTCATCATGCCCACTGACATCTCACCTTCTCGACGCCGTTTATTCCCTTACCCCTGTCTGCCGTCCCTCCCATCTATCGACACGTCATTCGTTCATCATGCCCATTCAGTCATTTCTCACGCGCATTCGGTTGTATAGCGAGGCGTTTCTGACCCCTCTCTCTTCACGTCACCGTTTGTAGATAGATCCTCCCCTCTTCGTAGATACTTCCTGTAGTTGTGACGTTGTCCAGTCAATATAGGCCTGAGTAGTTATGGGTATTCCGTCAGTACAATGAGAGACAACTAAGTGAGGAAATGCCGGAATTCTTTTAAAAAAAAACTAAGCAAATAACCGAACGCGTTGACTACATGCTGTGAACGCGGGCGCTCGAATGTTGTTTGCCAGCTCACTACTGCGTCGACGGCCTCCTTTGCCTCTTTCTTCCTCACTTCCACTGTTGAACCAATCTCTTCACTGCTTCAGTTACAGAAATGGCTGATAACACCAGTTCTACTCAGGTAAACTATCTCATGAGTATACACTGATTGACTTACTGAACACAGCATAGATCTCTACTGTCACTGCAGAGAACTTGCCTGCAGTGGTTTCCACTGGCTCAGAACGGGCTCCTACTCCTGCTGGGAGCACTCAGGATACCACAAAGACAGCAGTGAGTGTTCCAATTTTTTAAAGTCACTTTTCTCTGATGTCAAGAGGGTATGAAGGAGATCGAGAAGGCTACTCCCACAGGTAATGAAGATACACCTTCCGGGATTGTAAGTTCATATCTACAATTAGAAACTTCAGCTTGTAAATTCTGACATGTCTCCTCTAGAATGCTCAACCAGATGCTGGAGCACCTAAGACTCCTGCTCGGACCATTGAGCATGGTGCTTCTGTGATGGTGAGTTTGTACACTTTGTTATTATCACTTTGCTCATTTCAAAAGCAGAGTTCTCATCACAGTCTGCTATCTGGCAGAAAGGGAAAGAAGACAGTTAGAAGTGGGAATGTAAGTAAATTTCTCTTAAATCTGCTATTATCCAAGCTGAGTCATTTGAAGAATACCCCTGAGGTTTCCTTCGCCCCAATTCGCGGTGCTCAGAAGCGGCCTGCTAAAGGCTCGCTTAAAATTTGGACTGCTCGCCCAGTAAGTCTGCAGATCTCTCAGATTAAATATGTCACTCAGTTAGCTTAGGGAGCATCAAAGAGTGCTGCAGATATTCCAAACACATCTACTGGTACTCCTTCATTGGATAGTCAGAATCATAAATTGGTGTGTATTTATTCTGTGTCTCTCTACGTTGATATTAACAGCTTACAGATCACTTCAAAATCCAAGATTTCAGGCAATCCACCAACTACACCAGTGAGACGTACAAGATTGGATCAGGGTGTTAGTCCAGGCTCTAAGGTGAGATCTTTAACTATGCTGCATAATTGTAACTTGCTAATATACCTGCAGAAAACATATGCAGAGGTGGTTACAAGCTCTCCCTTGGGTCTCATTCGTCGGTCACGAACTACACCTCCATTGACACCTGTTGGCAGAGGTCCAGAAGTCATTCCCAGCTCTAGTCCAATTGCAGCACTTCAGATACCTCACTTGGATGATACCGTTCCTGCCAACAGCCCTATGCAATCTTTCAGGTGGGAGTACAAGAGGTTTGCACATTCTGAGGACACTAGAAGGACACAACATTCTGTCACACCAATTGCTCGTAAGGTGAGGACCTCACCTGTGGATAATCAAGAGGGCTTCGATATCACTGCAGCTCCGGTAAAGCCCAAAACTCCCGCTACTGCTCAGAAGCGTCTTATTCTAGATTACGTTTATCCGGGACCTGTGCCTCCTCGTTCTCATCGGCCCAATCTCTCTCAAAGCATCAGACCCTCTCCTGCACCCTCTGCCATATCGACACACACTATACCAATTGCATCTTCATCTAGCCTACCTCCCTCAGATTTTCGCCCTTCCTCTGTTACACCTCGGATCGTTCGCACATATTCAAGGAAGAAATTATCAGGCATCCCAATGAATGTTGACTCCAATGCAGAATTGCCCATTGCTCCCTTTGCCGCAATCAGCCTAGCATCCAAGAACAATGCATCACCTCCACCTCCATCTCCACCCCAACCCTCTGCTGTCCAGAAGAAACAGAAATCTGGTGATAAGTCAGTAGGCTCTGAGACTGCATCTCAGCTAGTTCTTGATTCCTCAGTGCTGAATGTTGAACGTGACACTGCGGTGGATGACTTTGGTTTGCCTTTTGAACTTGCAATATCAAAAGTCAAATCAACACCAGTATGTGACTTCAATTCTTATCTTTTTCTATCTGCCAATAATTTCATAGCACACTATCAACTTCAGAGATGAGCCTATTGTCTCTCAAAGACGAACAGTAAGGCTATCTCGTGCAGTAAGTAAATTCTGTCTATCTCTACTTTTAATACTAACCTTATTTATACTAGAACCCTAATGCTAAGGCAGTTGCAGAACGACACTTGGCAAATATTGCCAAAGATGCTAAGCCTGTAACTGCTGAGCTCACTGAACGACGTCGAAAGCGCCATGGCTACTTACATCAGCGCAATGCTCAAACAATTGACAATAGTTCCAATGAACTACTGATCACATCAGAACTAGCTGAGCCATTATACTGCATTTCTCCTAGATGCAAAGTTCCTGGACAATGTAAGTCACCTCTTTCTAATTATCAGGTTTCAGATGGCTAATACAAATATAGATAAAGGAATTATTCGCAATGGAGAATTGGTGATGAAGCGGCCTACAGCAGGTCGACTAGTTCATGATCACACAGCCAAGGCAAGTGATATTTTATACTTTGATATTTTCTATCTGACTGATTTTATGTAGGATGAAGATGCCAAAACTCATATAGTGAACTCCACCTATGTTCACTGGAAATGCACTACACCTGCTGCACGTGCTCGTCTTCGCAATGCTATGGGTGAGATTCATGGACTCACAGTTCATCCCTCTGCTCAGCGTTGTTGGAAAATTGTTGTGGCTTCCATTATGAAGGCTGATGCATCAGAAGTTGCTCGCAAGAAAGCAACTAAACAAGAGAAGATATCTGCTCAACAGGCTCGTGCTTTAAAGAAAAGACGTCGTGGAAAAGAACAAAAGAGGCGAAAGCAGATGGATCAGATGATGCAACAAGTAATTCTTGATGGTGAGCAAACTCAGTGTCTTTACAGTCTTCATATTTTGATAGTTATTTTGAATAGCAATGGAAGTGGATTCAAAGTCAGAGTCAGATTCTGATGATGACTTTGACTTTGATCCTAAAGATTCTGACTCTATTGCTGCTGCTACCAAGCTTGCAGATGCCTTTTTGGATTCTCTCAATGGGCGTGGTGAGCCTATAGCTGGTGGATCTGGTACTACTCATGATAGTGATAAAGAGATGAATGAGCTGATAAGTGATGAAGATGAACAGCCTCCTCCAAAAAGGCAAAGAATGGCATCAAGTGATAATGATCCAAGTCACTTGATTCCATTGAGTGAAGCAGTGTAGAGATATAGATAGAATACTTGGCAATTAGCTTAGAGCTGTAGAAGCCTAATAGTATGCAATTCTGTGTCCAAGTTTAAACTTTGCCAAAAGCATAATACTAACTGAATGAAGATACTTTTAATCTGTAAACTATTTTTAATTATTTATCTAGAAATATATTCTTAACTTGCAATCTACATAATATCAATATCTTGAATAATATTTAGAGTTACTTTGGGTATATATTGAAAGCTGTTGAAAGTTGGTAAGAGAGCTTAGCATGAAACTATTGTTATCCGTGCGGTGGGGGCCCCACCGCAGGAAGTTTGAGAAGTTCTTCTGAGGCTAATTGCCAAGTATTCTATCTGCATCTGTACACTACTTTACTAAATAGAATCAAGTCACTTGAATCAATTCTATAAATAGATCTCAATTTTACTTATTGATATCTTTCTAATAGCATATAGAAAGTATATATATTTTAGTATCTTATATTACTTACTGTAATAGCTAACTTGATAAGAGTAATTTAATAATAACCAAATAGCTTTTATATATAACTACAACTTTGATATATGCTGTTCTTTAATATAAAGGCTGAATGATAAAGATCAATAGTCTCTTAAAAAGAGAATAGATAGTACTTTTAAACTTATCAAAACTATCTAACTACTATTGTAAAACTTCGATAAGCTTTGTTCAAATCTATTTAACTTTGTTAAACTTCCTTAAACTTCCTTCAACTTCCTTAAACTTCCTTAAACTTCCTTAAACTTCCTTAAACTTCCTTGAACTTCCTCAAACTTCTCAAAACTTTCTTGACACTGCCATCAAAACTTCCTGATGACATCATTCTGGTACATCAAATTTCCAAATTTAATTAAAAACTTCCCTCGGAAAAACTTCCCAAACTTCCTGCGGTGGGGCCCCCACCGCACGGATAATAATGGTAGGAAGAGGTCATCATGGGAGATTCACAGTGAATTCCTTGCCCTCTCCATCTTCTGCCTTCATTATATACATACGTCCTCCAATGCCTCATGCTCCATGACAACCCACTGCACCATCATTGCCATTTCTTGTACGTACAATGACTTCTTAAATCCAATATCTTCCGCTTCCGTCCATCACCACCCATCGTCTCAACACGGCAACTCCCGTGATCATTCCTACCTCTGACATCCCTTCCACTATCTCAGTCTCTCTACCCACTCTACAGTCCCCTGTGGCCATCCTCACTTCTTTCTGTACCGTGTCCATAGCTACCAAAATGGCAGCTCTTTCAACAAATCAGCTCTCCATAACTTCACAAAACACCTCGCCTTCATCCTCTTCTCATATGTGACCATCACTCGCATCACAGCATGGACCACATTTTCTCCCTTTCAAACCAGTCCGGGGACAGGAATGAACTGAAGCCTAGCAACTCATCAGCCATCGTGCATCAATCATCCCTGCTAACTTCACAAAATGCGTTGAAATCTGCGTGCGGATTCTATCGGTGATCTCTACGCCCTTTCTACGCAGCTCTCCATATGTCCCGTCACCATCTGCTCCGTCATCTATCACAATCCGCACGCGGATTTCATCCTCCTCCATGAGCCCGCAACCATATCCCCACATCCATTTCAACAACCTGTCCAACCGTGTCCCTTATTACATAACGTCTCCCGCACCTTCATGTGGTCGTGAGCATCATTCATCATTCACTAATCCATCTCCTCCGCCTTCATCATCCTCTCCTTTTCTCTTCCTCCTCGCAGTAGTCTAGCTTCCGTCATGCAACCCATTCCTCACAATCATGACTCCATGCCCATCATCGACCCTGACTTCCACAGGCCCAACGTGAGCTCTCCTCATCTCTCATATTCATATCCATCCTCTCTCATGTCCACTCTATCCTTACCATCTCTCCAGAGTCTCACCCGCTACCATTTCAATTCCTCCTGGTCTATCGATCGCAACTGGGAAGACCTCCGTCTCTCTTCCGTCGCCATCCGTGCCTTCATCTGGTCTCCCAGTCAGTCCTCATCTTCAATCATTCATTCCGGCATCCCATTCACCTCACTCGTCTCCCAGATGTAGGTTCCAACTCTATGCGCTTGACTCCCAATTGGCCCAACACCCTCACCTGCGATTCACTCCTCCTTCATACGTCATCTCCCCATCCCCTTCCTGTCCTCTCCATACTACTCTCATTTAGATCCCATCCATCCCTCACATTCTTTCATCTCAGGCAAGTTCGACGTCTACTGCCAGATGCATCCCATTCCCCCTGCCTCTCACCCACAGCCCATCGTACGCACCTGTATGTCCACTTCACTACTCCCTCCACCTCCGCCTTCTCACATCATCAATGAACAAAGACCATGAGTATGCCCGGGTCCATCTCCTCACCGCTTTCGCTCTCAACTTCAAAGATGCATATACTGAATTCGATGAGTTCGTTACCCGCTTTCTCAAGGGTCGCACATGGGCCGATCGTCATGCCGAAGAAGTTGGCTCAACTCTCTGGGAGAATGAATGTCTTCTTGGCATCCTCGCCGACTTCTGCACCTTCATCGACAATGATCTCAACATCCTTCAGTCCATCGTCGTCGGCCTCGACGTCGCTATTCAAGACCTCCGCGACATCATATCTTTCCTTCGTGACATCCACGATGACTGGGATAATACCCTCGAGAAGCTTCTTCTGCATCACAGGTAAGTCCCAATACTCCCCAATACTCTTCTCATCTATATCAACTCTACCCTTCTCCCATCAGCCAATTTGCTTCCGGAGGGGCCCACAGAGCATCTGCCGACCTTCGTTACAACTTCTTCGCTGCCCACACCCCGACCGCAGTAGGAGTGCAGGGTAACATCGCCGTAAATACCTCCCATGAAGAATTCTAGCCACACCTCACGTTCTCCTCACCATTCAATCATGTACAATAATACTTCAGTCATATTTTCCAGTGTTCATAATACATGATTGTTCTCTCTAAATGGGTATAGAATACCCATCCCTACATTGACACATAAACTGCTCAAGCTCATCAAGATCAATCACAATGCTTGTAGCCATTGTTATCATCATTCCATATTGATCGCATTCGATTCCAAGACTGCGAGCACCAACAAGGAAGTACAATTCGAGATCGCGAGATATAGAGACTTAGGTGAGCAAATGCCTAGCATGCAGGACTACATACGAGTCTCTCATAGACTAACATGAGCAGTCAAGATCCATATTCAAAGACTTACTCACCATTTTCCAACACCAGTCATTATCTCACTAAGTGTGCATTTGCTCCCTCAGTCATATGTCAATCGTCAAGCTACTATGTCTGATTCTCCATATACTCATACACAATCCGCATGCGGATTCCGTCCGCTAGTCAATCATGTTGATCAATCGACGGTCACTCAATGGCTCCGTTGTCGCCATCGGTGCCAACTCCGCATGCGGATTGTGTCCCCTGACTACTTACACCAATCATTTCAGACGTCATCAGTGTCCCTCTACCCTCTCAATCGCACTCTTGCTGAACCTCACCCCGTAGACATCACACATCATCTCCAGATCATGTAATAGCAACAGTCACCCACCGAAAGCAGCATATGGTTACAACAATTGTACATGAGCGTCAGTTCCTGAACGAATGGGCATCTACTAGGGGTCCCTATAACTCCCCGTGCATGCTCCCAGATCTCATCTCATTCAGCACTCCCTCAATGTCCACCTCAATGTCAACCATCCATGCAGACGACCGCATACCAAACAGATCGTTCTCCACATCATGGAACCCGAACCTGACTAGTGGTCATATTTACTGACCATAGAGTCGGAGACAGCTGGCATACTTACCTAGCCCACTCATGAACTTTGTCAACAAGATTGTTCCAGCGTTCATAGACATCACGGAGCTCAGAAATCATCTTCCCCAGATGTCGAATGCCAACATCTAGACCTGCCACGATAGACTGCAGGACGTCAACTTCCTTCTCCACAAATGTGCAGAACTCCATCAGGATCCCAACACGCCATTCATTCTTCCACAACATCGCCTGAATCTTGTATCGGTGACGTGCAGCCCACTTGCCACCCTCCAGCATCCGTCTCACATACTCATCCAATTCCGTGTATTCCGCTTGGAGCTTCATAGCAAAAACTGTGAGCAACAGGAGCCGCGCATACTCATGTTCTTCCACAAATCATCATGTCAGAGGAGGCAGGTGCAGCGAGCGTTGTAATCGACATACCCGTACATATGATGGGCTGCACATGTGGTCCAGGGCTGAGAGGATCCATCCCGCAATATGCCTTGAACTTGCCTGAGTCAATCAAACAATCAATGGGTCCCAGCATGTCAGCTCCCACAACACATTAATCCAGCCCAGATAACACCTACGCTGGAGGATCTCATCGCATTTCAGCTTGTTCCGCCAATTTGGGATTAACTGGATCGGGACAGGACCCACATCTGTGTATAAAGTGAGAATAACAGCATGCCACAATGTCAAAGAACCTCGCAGACCAGTCGACCAGATGAAGGTGTTGATGGTGATGGATGACAGCTGCAGGTCCTTCCAGTTCCGATCGACAGACCATGAGGACCTGAACTGTATGCGGGCATCAGTCTGGAAGGAGAGAGGAGCGAGGGTCAACCCCGATCATCGACGTTCCACATGCAGCGATTTGGCTCACCCTCGGCCTCCCGAAGTCAGCATCGATGATGGGCATAGAGTCTCGATCATGAGGACTGGGAAACATGATGGAACTCATTGAGACCAGAATAAGAGAGCAATGAAGATGATGGTAAGGGCAGATGATGCCAGCACGTCAACGGTCCATGAGGCATATGACCACGTGGAGGTGTGGGAAACCTGGGGACACCCATAAGCCACACACCTCGTCGGGCGAGCGAAGTCCGCGTGCGGGGTATGCCCAGCTTCATGGTGTCAGAAGTATTTCTCACATGTATGGGACGAAATCCGCATGCGGAGTTCATCACTCCTCCCACTGCCTGCCTCTGCCTCTCTCTCTCTCTCATTTACCAGTCTATCATGTAAACGCACCTAAGCCCCTGTCTCATTTGGCGTCCAAACAGCCTCTCCAGCATGCCGTCATCTCTACATCTGCAGCAACATGCAGCTGTATAC